GGAAAGTGGAGCTGTGAGAATATGCCTCACTCCTGTCTTTAGACAACAGGTAGGAAAAGGTGTTGCTAATTCTTGCAGTAATAAACATATTGTTTTGTCTTCAAGCTTCAGCTGCTGGAGTCATGTGAAAGACTTGGGCAGTTGGGGCCAGAGGGAAAATGTCATCTTTCACAGGATTTAGTGACACTAATTGCTGAATTGAATACCGGTGCTTAAAATTTAACTAGTATAATGTCTCAGCATACTATAGGAGTCTCATTTTACTGATCAGATGCTGTATTGTTTTGATTTAGGTGAAGGAATGTTTCCAGGCAAACTTGCTGTATTTTGCTGTGTTTAGTAATGTGCATACTGGGAAGGTAAACATAGCTCATCCTTCTCTTGAGATAATTTGCCTATAGCAGAGAATTTTTACACTTCCAAGTGACCAGCTACTGCCCAAACCTATATTGGAACTATCTTATGTTATCGTAAGATAATGTAAATGTGGTTCTCTAGTCCTTTCAGGTCTGTTTATAAATGAGGTAGGCTTTGTACAGAGACATTACGCTCTTACTAGCCAGCTGATATAGCTGGAGGAAGAATCAAACTTTCAGATAGTTTGTGTTCCTGAAAGATTCTCTGGGTTTTGTTATGGTTTTTTGTTTGGTTTTTTTCCTTTGACAATATTAGATGATCTGATAAAAGTTACTGCCTTTCATGGACAAAATAATAAAAGCCTCTAAGGTAGGACAAGTCGAGGGCAGAAGTCACCAGCTCTTAAAAAGTAGTTCTGTGGGTATAGATCAAAGAAACCCTGTATGGATGTATTGGGAAGAGAAGACATCTGTAACCATATCTTGTTTGTCCATGAGGTGTATAAGACCTAGCTGATAAGGTTAATACAATGCTACTTTTCTGGCTCGGAGCAGGAGCTCAGAAGTGGTAAGACTGAATGAGAAACCCATCAAAAGAGGTTGCTCACTTGGGCTGTCTTCTGGTGGCTGCCTGGGCAAAGAAAGGCTTTGCCCTTGCTGTGGGCCCTGAGGGCCATCAGGGAGAGGTGCTGGGTGGGTATCCCGTGCCCTTTGTAGGTCATCGCTGTCTCACTGTCAAAACAAGAGAGCATTGAAAGCTCCTTGTATGAATACTTCTTCACTGATGCAGTGCTTTCCATTGGCTGTTTTGCAGCTGAGGCAGCTTTTTGGGAGTGCGGTGCCTGCTTTCCCTCCGAAGTTTTACCTGACAATGACCAAGTCAATGGCAGATGAGAGACAGTCTCAGCTGGAGCAGTACCTTCAGAATGGTAAGCTTGGCTATAACAACCTGATCAGCTTTCATATGTAGGGCTTAAACCTTTGAGAATGTGTCTACAATTGTGACTGTGCAGGGTGCTTTACCTTCTACACTGAGCTGAGTAAGGGTGTATCTAAAAGGCTGGGGCTAAGTGTTGCAGCCCTGTTCTTTCTGTTGGTTCACTGGCTCTAGAACAGCAGCATATCATAGTTCTCTTATTTCTGAAGCAGCTGCCTTTCTGTAGCTTTCCCAAAATGTAAGGGTGCAGTTTCACACTAAACTTAAGCCAACTTGGCCTTCTGGTGGCAGCCTGTAGTCTGACTGTTGTCTGCTCTTCTGTATCAGTGAGCTGAGCCACCCATCCCTGCTGCTTCACAACTGCCAGAGCTGACACGGGGCCGCATGTGAGAACTTGTGGCTGGTGGGTAAAAGAGGGAGGCAAAAAAGGCAGGTTTTGGACTGGTAGAAGTGTAATATGGAACTGGGCTCTGCATAAACCTCTTCCCTTCAAGGGTTTCCAGGCGGACTTGTGAGAATTATAAGATCTTGCAGAAAAACTAAATCTCAGGCACAATGTGTTGTGTTATAAACCAGGTCTGCAGCATCCCTAGAATGTGTCTCGTGAGTTTCATGTAAGCCAAGAAATAAAAAAATATAACCATTTCAACTACCCAGAAAGAAGGGTGTGTGAGGGGATGAACTTAAAGAGGTTTTGTAGCCTCTGGCCTCAGATACTTTGTGCCAAGGCTTACAAAACAAACTCGAGATTAGTCTTTAAAATCTTACTTAGTGATTATTTTTTTCACTTGAGTATTCAACAGTTCCTTTTAGAGGTACTGGCCATGGAGTTATGTGGCCAAGAACCTTACTGTAGTCTTGCTTTGGGAGAATAGCAACACTACATGCATTTTGCACTGTTCATAGCTTCAGTGATTTAACAAGCTAGTAAAGGTAGCTGTGCAGAAACCAAAGTATGAGTAAAGTAGCACTGATTGTTTAACCAACAGTCATGTATACATCTTGTTTTTAGGCACTAGCCATGTTTTTCATCTTTTGGCTAAGTTTGGTTTCCTCCCTCCCCGTTTTCCTCTTGTTTTTCAGTTACTTTGGATTCAAATATTACCAATAGTGATGTCTTCACAGGTTTTTTCCGAAAGCTTCAGCAGGTAAGTTTTGAATTTTTCAGCCAAATACTTTATGTGAAAGAGTTGAAATATTATCCTACCTCCTGAGTTCAAGGCTTCCTTTGCTATCTTCCTTTCCTTGTGTTTGTAGCGTATTGGTCTGTCTTGTAAAGCAGCAAGTTCCAATGACAGAGTGCTCTCTGTGAAACCTGGGTGGCAATAATAATAGTATTGCTATTGTTTTGTCCATGTACGAACTTGTTTCTCACATGGAAAGAACTATTTGCTTTGTTTTTATATCCTGTGGCATATCTGATAAACCTTTTTGCCTCTAAACAGTTCCCAGAAGAGTCTTTGTGAGAGCTCAATAGAAGGATTACACACATTCTTGGATTTTGCAACTGTAAATGCCTTTTGGTAGTGTCAGTGCTTTGGACTGATAAGCGTATTGATGACTGCTGTGAAAATGTCATGTTCTCTTGTCTTGCAGCTGTAGTGATGGGCAGAATCTGGCATGTATTTGGGTTCTTGCAACCTAGATGACTTTTGAAATCCATTTTAATGTGGTCCATGACATGTATGATCTTTAGGCTTGGAGCCTGGATAGCTCTTGCTTGTGTCTGACTACTGCAAGGTCCTGTATGTCCATTTTCTTCCCTTACCTTACCTTCTCTCTAGCTGCTGTGCTTCTTATGAGGATAGTAGTGTTTTGGAGCAAGGTGCAGTATGACTCCAACAGTATTTTTGGGGAGGGGATGCTGCTTTCGTTTTCTGGGAAGCACTTGGCATTCTGCTGGTGTTGCTGTAACCTTGCTTGCAGTGAGTTCCTCTGGAGAGAGGCGATGTTTTGAAGGACCGAGTAAGAGTTTTGTGACTCGAGAGCTCTTCACTTGCTATGTGTGATTAAGGTATGTAAGAGGAGTTCAGAAAGGCTATAGAAAATGGTATGAAGAAGTATTCCTAACAAATTCTAGAAAGGTTTTTCCTATATACTTTGTAAATAAAAAGATAAAGTTTTATTTACTGTCTCTTAAATTCAGACCTCCTGAAGTGCTCAAGACAGTGAACGAAAAATCCCGTTCTGATTAAGGATTTCTTTTGTGAGAAGCAGTCTCTCCTTAGTTCTGATCCAATGCCTGTTATAGCCCTACAATTACTGCTGAGTCTTAATTAGTCTTGCTGAAACTGATAACAGGTCTACTAAAGAAAGTTAAATCCA